TTGTTCAGACAAAAATTACCAATAAGTAATTGAAACTCATCAAATAAAATTATTCTTAATCATTACATTGATTATTCGTAAATCAATGACATTTGTTTAGTAGAACAAAAAGATATTGAATGCAATTCTTATTTTACAAAATTAGCTACAACTTATTAACAGCAAATATTTTTGAAGACTAAATCTATCAAATTATATCAAATACCATTTTGCAAAAAACTGCACTGAATGCTCAAAATGGTTCTGGAAAGTTATGCATACGAGTAGAAGTGGATCAATTGGATAAAATCCAAACGTAATCAAATCTGACAAAATGATACAATTACCTAAGTTAATAGGAGTATATAAAAACTATAAAATTATTTGAAGTTAAGGAAAATGTTTGACTAATAAACTGCCACAGTTGTCCTAACAAATTAAGTTATTTATAAGAAAAATTGTTTCTTATTAAGATAGACGAATAACCAAGGCCCACAATAAATAAGCTCTACTTGCAAATAAATTCCAAATTTTCTTACACACTATCTCATTCTTTACCGAAAACATAATATGTCGCTGACGAAGCAAGCTGAGCTCTACTTGCAAAAGAGGCTAATGAGGTGTTGTATTTAGAGTATAACTCTTTACGGATTAGAGACATAGACTCTAAGAAAGGGCGACAAAAACTGCCTGGAGAGTTTTCAATGTGGTGTTGGAGGCAAATGAAGAAGATAAAGTGGATAGCAAAACAATCTAAAATGCTGAGAAGAGTGGGCAAAGAAAGACCTCTACTGAGAATGATTATTAAAAGGAGAGAAATCTGGATTGGTCCCATTCTGTAAAAACAGTGACTATCCTCAGAGCTCTTTTCGCATCAGAGACATGGACTTTAATAAAAGCCGATAAGAACTACCTAGAAAGTTTTAAAATGTAGTGCTGGAAGCAAATGGAGGAGCTAATGTGGACAGACAAAATAACCAATGAAGAAAATACATCTACTGAGAACAATCAATAAAAGAAAAGCAATCTGGATTGAACCCATTTTGCAAATAGAGTGACTATCCGTAGAACATAGCTCTTTACGGATCAGAGAAATAGACTCTGACAAAGGCCGACAAAAACAATCTAGAGAATTTTGAAATGAAAAAGATAAAGTGGACAGACAAAATCACCAATGAAGAAGTGTTGCGAAAAGAGGATGAAAAAGGATTGGACTCTACTGAGCACAATCATTAAAATGAAAGGAAACTGCGTTGGGCCCATTGTGCAAAAAGAGTGACTCCTATATGACGCCATCGAAGGTAAAATAGAAGGACTAGAAAAACTGTGAAAAAAAACTGTGATTGGTGACTTACGCGAGAAGAGGAAATACAGTGAACTGAAAACCGAAGCACAAGATTAGAAAGCATGGAAGCAAGAAGTGAAGATCACTAAAAGAAGGGAAACTTGATTGGACTTATTTTGCAGAAATATTTTCTTCCGCATGATGTCGTCAAAGGTAAAATAGAAGAACTGGGAAGAAGAAGAATGTAGATGATTGATGACTTACGCGAGAAGAGAAAATACAGGGAACTGAAAACCAAAGCACAGGAGCAAGAAGCATGAAAGCAGAAGTTTGGAGAGTAAAATACTAAAAGGTGAAAGAAAAAGAGGAATGTAGGTAATTGATGACTTACGCGAGAAGAGAAAATACAGGGAACTGAAAACTGAAGCACAGGACCAGGAAGCATAAAAGCAGGAATTTGAAAGAAAAATGTGAAAAGGTGAAAGAAAAAGTAATTAATGGTAATAAAATGGTGATGGAAATAATAAAAAAGGGAGGGATAGAAAATCATTGATTCGTGGTGCTCTCACACCATGGATCTGAAAGACTTCAATTTATTATTATCATGTAATATGTTTAAAAAATTTGTACTCGAAAAAAATCGACTAATTCGTTTTTTTACAGTCAAAAATATGCTTGCAAAAAAGTTTTTTTTTATCAAAGCAGTAAATAATCACATTCCAAAAGTACATTTCACAAAAACAGTGCACGACAGGTACCCGTATGATTTAGAGGAGTACCTGTCTTTAACAGCACCTCCTTCCACAAGTAATTGAAAATTACTCGAACGCTTCGAAAAGAATGGCCACTATTTCATTCAATTTGATTAAAACAATCGATTCATAAACAACCGATTAATATTTTCCGCGTTAAGTCTATCCATTACAATTATCCCAAACGTTGGCATTCACTGCGAGCAATCCCCGTGGCTCGTGGGCGTGGGCGATCCGTAGAGATAGCGTGCAAGGAGCGCGCGATGGGTGCCGCTTATACCCTCTGGTTCGGGTTTCGAGGGCCCACGTTTTGTGCAAGTGTTGCCCCTTTCTTCTTAATTGCTTCGACTTGCGCTCTGAGACGCGAGCCTTCTGGAAAGCTGCCTGATTAATGGCACTGTTTGACTGTTTCTAATTCCTTCGGCATTCCTTTCAATACAGTTATTCGACATCGTCCGTGGAATTGCACGGCTCCCAAGGAATGAAAGCGCGCCGTAATATTTGCAAGTGTCAAGTGAATTTCGATGGGATAATGATAATATACCTACTTATGACCATGAAACCGTGAAAACATAACGTTGTGTTGAAAATTATTTGTTCAATTTCAAAAATCATTCAAATTCAGTCTGACGCAAACTATTTTTTTTTTTTTTTTTTTTTAAATTTTATTTGAACAGCAATCAGAACTAATGGGTTCTATGAGCTGTTGTGAGCAAGATCTTACAAACTACGTTTGTTTTATTACAGATGGCAACCCAAACAGTTGTCACATCTCTGTATGATAAATTTTTATTACAATCTCTGTAATAGGGCAAGTATGGTGCAACAATGCCGGGTGAGGGCTATTTTCACTTGGAAACATATTGCTATCTATATTTCCAAGTGAAAATCGTGGTCAATGTTGCCTGACAACAGGCTGCTCGAAGTTGGTATCGAACTCGGGACCTCTGAAACAAGTCCCGTCGCTCTTAACCCCTTACGCAAACTAATAAGTTAAAAATCATCTTGTGGCGAGCTTAGCTAACTTGGTAGCTTGTTCGATCCACACGACAGGAATCTTTGGATCGAATCCTGTCATTGACTTCGAATTTATGAAAAAAAAAGTGCAGTTAATTTGAAATTAAATAAAAATTGTATTTGTTAAGTAGAAATTTAATAAAAATTAAGAAAAGTAGGAATTACAGAATTCGAAAAGCTGAATTGTATTAGGAGTAAGAAGAAAAAATAACAGAATTTTCTGAGATTAAAAAGAAGAATGAAGAAGCAAAATGGAATGAAGATAGAAGATGAATAGAGTTAGAAATTTGATAGAAAACAGCAAAAATTGAAGAAATTAAGAAGAAGAAGTATATAGAATAAGATATATACAGATTAAATATGATATAAAAATTGGTATAGAATGTAAATAAACAAAAATGTTGTAGGTGGCTAAATGCTCAGAGTAAGCGAGGCCAAATAAAATTTAAAAAAAAATCATCTAGGTAAATTACATCAATTATTAAGTCTGACGCATTGCTTGTAGTTTTGGCAAAAATTCTAAAAATATCATAGATTAAGTGCAAAATCTATCATTCTAAAGATTTTAAAATAAACTATATGTTTTTTTTAAAAGTAAGTTGAGAATATAAATATATATATATATATATATATATATATAAATATATATTATATATTATAAATATATAATAAATATATAAAGCTAGGGGTTTATTGTAACAGGGGTAAGTATCAACAGGCGTTTTTCCGTAGGATCTTAAACGACGTTAAAATATTTCTTTGTCTTGATTCGACATGTAAACCGTCCTGCATAATATTGTAATAGCTACTGTCTCGCATGCCGTCCGAGTAAACAGAAGTGTGCAGGTGCGTCACTTTTAATATAAAATTGTACTGTCATAAAATTTCGGTTTGCATGATTATTATCGACTAATTTTAAATTCTATATATCTTATTTCGTTTCAAGTTCATCAATCTTTGATAATGTAATCTTTGTGATTTCTAAATTCTTTAAATAGCTATCTTGATTAATGTAAAATAATCATACCTGAGGTTAGTTACAATAAAACCTTGGGGCTAGTTGTAACATAAAAAAATTATATACAAATTCAATGGAAAAAGATTGGGTGATTTGTATAGTTTGTAAAATGTGGTCCTATATAAATTGTGTTGCAGTAGACACTATATATTTTATTTGTATTATGATAATGTAATATTTGTGATAGCTAAATTCTTTAAATAGCTATAAAGATTAATGCAAAATAATCACACCTGCGGTTAGTTAAAACAATATTAGAGATAGTTGTAACATACAAAAATTATATACAAATTCAATGGAAGAAGATTGGGTGATTTGTATAGTTGGTAAGATGTGAGCCCACATAAATTGTGTTGCAGTTGACACTATATATTTATATAATAATAATTGTACTTTATGGTGATTTATGCACAAAATTACTTAGAAACAAGTCAATTTTCTTAAAAATAAGTAAAGAATACACTATCATTAGTAAATCTCAAGATACATTAATTTAGAAAAACTGATACCACAATCCCCTATCTCCCCGATATTTAAATTAAACTAACAATATATTTATTAAAATTTAATCTTGCGACTCAATGTTACTTCGAAGGAATTGTAATATTGTTTTTCTAGATTCATCTTTCTAACATTTTCAATTAGAATTATATGCCGTTTTCAGTGTAATTTGGAAAATTATAACTCTACCATCCATTTTGTTATTATTTATATTAAGAATAAAATTTGTAACAAAAATATTACCGATGTTTTCTTAAAATTTGCTAAATTTACTATTGCTATTGGATTCAAATTATGTGTAAAAAGTTCTCCTTTCTTAATACAGCCAATTCAATAAAATTATTTCACATAAAATAATTCATTGAAATACATTTTTACATTAATCATATATGTATATAACTCACGATACTTTTGTGTTAAAATTAGGTCCAATTCTGGTTGTACTTACTTCGTCCTGTAACAAAAAGAAAATAAAACAAATTAGAAACATAAAATAGACATTTTAATAAATAAAATAAATAAACTAAAAATATATTCCTGTGAAAAATATACATCAACATCATTTATCGAGGGCCGATATAAAGAACTTTTTTTTAAAATACATATTTTAAAAGTCAAAATCATAGAAAAATAATTTCATTTCATTTCTTTCACATAAAATCGTGACAAAATGTATTTAATTTCCAATTTGGAATCATGAAACGTTTTTAACTCATAGTGATACAACGTTTGTCCAATTTGTTCGCGAGACACTAACGCGTGTACACGAGTGTCAACTACATTTTAGATGTCACGCTTTCATTATATCTTTTATAAAACAAAAGTAATGAACGCTGGAAGTGTTGCATCCGCACTTCGTGATCTAATCAGATCCGTCATCGTTGCGTGTACATACGTATTTATAAACGCTTAAGAGGCGTTAATGAGTCCAGTTATATGTTTTAGGTCAGATTGGTAGATAGTTATTCGGACAAGTTAGGAGTTCGCGCGAATGTGCACGCGATAACAAAATCTGCGCAATTAACGGTCGCGATTCGCTAACATTCAGCCATCCGGTAATGGTAATAATGGACACATGGCAAATTGTTACAGCAAAACCATTCGCTTAACGAGTAATTCGCATAACGAACAAAAGCGTTGCGCGAAAGGTCATTGTTTCGCAAAACAAGAATTTTGCTATACGACTATGGAATGAAATATGCTCCATAAACGTGGTTGCACTGTGCAAGTGCATCTTGAATTAAATGCAGTAAGCAAAATATTAACTGCATTTTAATTTCCTTATTAATAATAGTTATGACAGCTAGGGGGTTAGTGTAATACGAAAGAGTAGAAACCGACGTTTTTCAATAGGTTTTGTACGATGTTAATTTTTTTGTCTCTATTGGACATGTAAACCGTCCTGCATAATGTTGTCATAGCTACTGTCCCGCATGCAGTAAACAGAACTGTGCAGGTGCGTCATTTTTGATAGGTAATATAAAAATGATCTGATCAAATTTTAGTTTGCATTATTATTATCGACTTATTTTAAATTTCATATATCTTATTTCGCTTCAAATATATTAATCATTGATGTGTAACAATTTTTGTGACTCTTCAAATAGGTATCTTGATTAATGTAAAAAAATCACACCTGGAGTTAGTTAAAACAAAACCTTGGGGCTAGTTGTAACATACAAAAATTATATACAGATTCATATGAAGAGAATTAGTTGAAATGTATGGCTTGTAAGATATACATGCAAATTGGGTTATATGAGACACTATATCTTTTATTTGTATTAATTGTAGTTTACGTTGATTTAAGATAAAAATTTATGTTACAGGAGACATTAAATACTTTATTTATATATAATAATTTATATATGTATTAATTATAGTTTGTATTGATTTATGATGAGAATTACTTAGAAATAAGTCAATTTTCTTAAAAATAAGTAGAAAAAGAAAATTATCACAGGCACATTTTTATGTCGTTACTACATACTTACTTATTTCGTGCAAATAAAATCAATGTATTTCAAGCTATATTAATTTAAAGAAAACTGTTGCAACAAGACCCTAGCTGCCTTATAATGGTAAAGATAATAACAAAAAGAGAATTTTTCTTGCTATGGATCAAATTTATCAATGAAATGATATATAAATAAGAAATAATGAATAAATCAGTAATACTATTAAATCAATTGTAGTAGCTAAATTGATTTAAATATTATATAAATAAGTTTTAATTACTTTCTCTGGTTAAAAACAATATTGATAAACTTTTAGTAGAAGTACTATTCTATGCCTATTCTTGACATTGGGTAAAAAAAACTGTTGTCAAAATTTAATTGTATTAAGCGTAACAAGAGCAATATCAGAATCTGCACATATAGAAAAAATTAAGCTTGAGATGATCTCAAACCAGAAAATTTATGGAACTTTCTATTTTTATTTGAACAGTAATCAGAATAGTTTTTTGACACTAATGAACAGCAATCAGAACAGTGTGTAATCAGAACTTAAAGAGTCCTAGGGGGCGTCCATTAATCACGTGGAGCTTTTATGGGGAGAAGATGTTGATAAAAAATCGCGTGGGGGAGGGAGGGGACTAGTAAATATCACGTGTATTTATTTTTTACCTAAATTTTCAAAAATAAAAATAAAAAAAATTACGATTTTTTCGTAAATTCGAAATAATCATTCGAAAATTTATACATATCTAAAAATACACGTGATGTTTGGTGAGAGGGTAGTTTTTAAGATTGCGACATATCACCAAGGGGGAGGTGTCCAAAAATCCTAAAAAAATCAATCAAGCAATTAATGGACGCTCCCCTACAAGCTATCATGCTAATACTTCTTATCTATGTGGGTTTTGGATCAGAATGAGAACAGTTTGCAATAAAAACTTCCTACAAGCTATCATGATGATACTTCTTAACTACGTGATTTTTAGAAGACAACCCAAAGGTTGGCCTTTAGATTAGAATTTCTCTAACACCAATCGTTTTTACTTTCATGCAACATCGTGGAGTTTCGTGTAAATTAAAAACCTGCATAAAAATCTAACCTATCATCTCGACAGTGGCGTAACTAGGCCACCCGGGGCCCGTGGCAAATTTTTTTTATGGGGCCCCCCCATCAGTAAAATCAAGTGGTTTTAATTTAATTTAAAAAAAACTCGAAATTTTTCAACGTGTTCATTTAAATGTTATATATATATATATATATATATATATATCCACGATTTGTAATGAATTGTATTAAAAATGAGTAAATCTACTTCGACTTATTCATATTTTATGGTTTTAAATTGAGAAATTATTTAAAATGTATGTATACAGAAATTAAAAAAAAAATTAAAATGTATAAGTACAAGAAAACATAAAAATAAAAATAATTATAAGTCAAAATTAATAATTTAAAAGTACAATTACTACTTTGCTTTGAAAATCAAACATAAAATTTTTGTGTTTAAACATTGTAATACATGAACTATAGAAAGGATTTTTTTATGACTGAATTCAACAGAGAAAGTACATAGTACTTTGGGGTTAAAAATAATTATTACATAACCTAACATTAACAATCAATTTTTCACGTGTTTTCTGAACAATCAAATCCTTTTTAATACTTTTTGAAAACTTCATATTCGTCATATACTCGCTGGCCCTTTTTGGTGAAGAAACCTATTTAAAATATGTATAAATTTGGAATGAAACAAAAACAATGATTTAATTTCAATAAGGTATTTATTAATTAAAATCTTTTCTTCGTGCTTTCTGTTCTGCAAAAGTGTCTATGACATCATCAAAATTTAATGAACGAGACATAGTATTTTCAAAACTTAATAAAAAGTTAGTTTTCTATTAGTCATTATTTGCATATTATAGAGCTTCATAAATAATATTAAAGAAAATATTAAAAAAAAATCACAACACTCTAAAATTATATTTTTACATTCTTACACGCTCATGTTTTTTTTTCGAAATTAAATTTATTTAGAAGAAAATTTTCATGTTTATTCTAACTTCTGTTATTAGTAAAATAAAACCAAAATTTGTTAGATTTTACTAATTTTTACGCGTATTTGGGGCCTCCGTGGCCTGGACAAAATAAAACTATTTAAAATAATAATCTTACATTCCTCGCGTACTTTTTTACGCGTATTTGGGTCCCCCGTGGCCTGGACAAAATAAAACTCTTTAAAATAATAATCTTTCATTCCTCGCGTACTTTTTTACGCGTATTTGGGGCCCCCGTGGCCTGGACAAAATAAAACTATTTAAAATAATAATCTTACATTCCTCGCGTACTTTTTTACGCGTATTTGGGGCCCCCGTGGCCTGGACAAAATAAAACTCTTTAAAATAATAATCTTACATTCCTCGCGTACTTTTTTAACGACATTAAATTTGGTTGAACGAAGTTTTCATAATTAATTTGTTTTTCATGATTTTTTTATATTATTAATGTTTCTTACGGTCATTGGCGGCCCCCTGGTTCGGGGGCCCCGTATATTTGCACGGCTGAGACGACGGTAGTTACGCCCCTGATTCTTACGAAAACATACTTTTCAAGTAAAATAAAGTATTAGAATTTAATGTAAAAATATTTCTGAGCATGCGTTCTTTTGGGCCGGGGCCCCCTTGGGCCGGGGGCCCGTGGCATTTTGCCACCCACGCCACCCTATAGTTACGCCACTGCATCTCGATTCAAACCATACTGTCTCCATGTCATTCCTCACTCATAATATTATTAATCGTGAGATAAATGAATCAAAAGCCATGACGCCTCGAGTGGGTGCCGAACAAAATATCTAATGCGTTTCCATACTTTTACAACCTGGTGTAGGTATACACGAAACGGTCATCATTAACACCTATGCGGCAATTATAGGCGACTCGCTAATCGCTCACGCCGTGCTATGATGAAGTAGGTGTTCGGATCCATGCCAACTTTTAGCATGTCACTAGCAGACGTGCCAGGAGATATAGATAATTGAAAATTTGTATTATATTGACAGCATGTGTGTTACAGGCAGTTATATAGTCTCAGACATGCATGTTTTTTTCGAAAAAAAAAAATTGTATATGCGTATTAAATATCTCCTTCGATAACTCAGGTTGTTGGATTATAATTTAACCCTTGTAGCTGTGGACTGTATGAAATACTGATTTGTTGGTATAATTTATATATTTATTGCAAGTTCTCATTACACTAACGATTTGTCACTAAGTCTAATTGAAGAAGATATATTTATTGATTATTCATTACATATTATGTTGTTACGCGGACTTTAGTTGTGAGAAAAATAAGTTCGATACAAATCAGCTACCCCATCTACAGGATTTTACTTATTTATTTTCATCTATCCTAATATTAAGCTAGCAGCGCCACGTGTTTTTTTAACATGGCACATGGTACAAATTAGTACAAAATAGGTACTAAATAATACAACAGGTC